GCAATTCACTGGGTTTTGTTTTTGCCACCACCGGTCATGGAAGGGAGCAGTGTGATATTTATTTCAGTTGATTCCATTCTTGTATTGCAGTGGCCGGTATTCTTAGTGAATGATCAGAATGCCATCTTTGATACCGTTTTAAATCGGGAGGACCAGACGTATTCCACCGGTGTAATCATGGCGGAAAGCACCTTTTCTGTCATTTTGTGCGTCCGTTCTAGGAGCATGTCGGAGAGTTGGCGACTCGTATCGACCTCATCTCTTGTCCATTGATGCCGCGTACGTGCATGATGTGTTCGAGGTGAAGCGGTTGGTGTTTCTCACTCTCTAGCCGTGGAAAGTATGATGGTGTGGTTGACACGAAGGGAGGGAATCTTTCCAGACGAACACTATTCTCATCAGGATCTGATCTTTGATCATCAGCTGAAGATGGAGATTATAACTGATAAAAAGTGTTCACCTTTGGTTGATTTTCGCAAAAGGTGGGTACAGGTTGCGAGCCTGGTTCGCGTAAATCGGGCAAATCTAGATTTCCTTTTTTAGCGTGACACTATTGCTGGTAAATAAGAAGTTTATTGGATAGAAAGAACGATATACCAGTAAACAATCGTGGGAAACATTGAAGATTTTATTTCTCAAAAAGCCGAAATTTCTCAAGAACCAGACGGCTAGCTAAAAACAACACTGGCTGAGAAAACAAAACTGTAGAAAATCGGATATGGTTTAAAATCATAAGTTGGGAATATGGCACAGTGGATAAAGCGTTAATTAGATCCAGTGACAGGACCTAAAAAGTGTGAGTTCAATACCTGGTTAAGCCGGTGGAGAACTTTGAGAGGGAAATTAACATGAGATAACTGACATACATTAGACAGTCCACGTGGAACTAGGACAGTCTACCCCAGTGAGCGAAATAAAGGGTTCAGTTCGACATTCCAACCACCTGAAGAAGGCCGGAGCGTACAACGGCCGAAACGTTGTGATAAACATGGCGACAAAGATGAGGACAATAGTCTGAATAATGTAAATAGTGTACATAATACCTCATCTCTGACATATAGACAGATATCGGAGATAAGGATTTTCTAGGAGAATGTCCCCGACGGAATCTTAGAAGTAAAAGCCATCTAGTTTGTGTTTCAATTTTGGACACGGAAAACATAAAACTGATATGGACAATTTCTCTGCTTAGGTTACAAGTCTGATAATTCTTTTTTTTTTTCTTTCTTTTTTTTAACGAATTTGGGAATTAAGCATCGCCCGACAGTCGAGAACCATTGGTCGGATGGTGGTGAAGGTAGCGGGCGCAGATGACCTATATTTCTGTGTTCAAAAACACATGCGTATACACACCCCACCCCTTTTCTTTTCCTCTCCCTCCCTCTTCTTCTGATCTTTAAGATTAGATCGTCTATTGTTTCTGTATGTATCCTTTCCAGTTACATCTTTAATGTATTAGACAACATTCATATTTCTTTCACTTAAACCGTCTTTGACTCCCCTCTCTAAAACTTCTCTTTGTTAAATTTTAATCTCCCACCATCTCTTGTCTGTTACCCCTCTCTTTAGCTCTAACATTCGTCCCACACTCTCATACTTACACTCTCTCTAAATTCTATTTTTTATTTCCGGAGTTGTTTTTTCTGTTTGCTTTTTGAATTTGTAGGTCTGATGAATTGGATCGTATTTACGATTCCAATGGGATTAATTATGACCATGGAATATTAGTGTTTAAGCCTTTTTATTATATCCTTACTCTGTCCTGGACATTGAGTTGTACCTCGATTCTATCCTCTTGGAATTTTTTCTATACAAAATATATATGCATGTGTATGCATGTATGTATATATATTTATATATTTTGTATATGTATGCGTATATTTACCACTAATTATATATATATATATATATATATATATATATATATATATATATATATATATATATAAAAATGAACATTGAAATCAACACTCAGAGGCGGCGGCAGGCTGTTTCAGGCTAGACGCAATAGGCGGCTTGACGACTGCGTCTAGCATGAAACAGCCTGTTGCCTCTGAGTGTTGACTTCAGTGTTCACGTTCATGTTTATATTTACATACGCTCTATCTCTGATATTGAGCACTTTATCCCATAAATATAGCACACCTTAAAACCATATTTCTTTATATATATATATATATATATAATTTCACATATTTTACAATTTTTACATCATGGGTGTTTCTAGTAGAACCCAAGTGAATATGTGGTATTGTGGCAGATAATGGATCCAATGAAGAAGGATGGCTTCTTGTGGTGATCCATGAAATTTTTGGAATGAATGGATCGAGAGTCGGATTAGTTAGATGTAGTATAGGTAGTGTTGACCGGTCTTTTCCCACTTTCTTTCGGCCTTGTGCCACATTATCATGTATAAAGGTCAAAACTACACAGCAGCAATCCTTGCAAACCAATGTAGCAACATTCGAATGTACCCAGAAAAATGTTCTAAAAATTGATAGACACAACTTGTTATTATTTAACCGAACAAGTTTTAAAAAATATATGTTCATTCTAAGATACTAGAAGTGGAGCTCTTAATGTTTATTGCAAATGACAGTTTATTCGACTTTTTCCAATCGGCTTAACGTGGCGACATTGTGACTGTTCTAAACGTAGAACAATAGATGCACTAAATTCAAAGGAAAGAATTAGGTTTACTTCAAACAAAATTAAGGTCGAATAGATTGTCTTTGTTAATTTCTAACGTTGTCCTCCTCATTTCTTTGAACAACGCCATTGATTTCACATTTTTATATTTTCTTTTCATATTAAATTTATCAAAAGTCGCTAACAAATCCAACCTGTATTAACATTTGCTCTTTGATTTGAAATAATATCTGATCGCATTTATCATTTCTGTCTCAATCGGTTCATATGTATAGATCTATCTGTCTACAAGGTGAGCAAAGAATGAATATTTAACTGCGTTTACCTGGGACATGCAGTTACTCTGATATTAACATTTTAAATGATTTCAATTTCCTGGACGCGCTCTGTATAATAAAAGGGGAGGTTGAAATAAGATAATCCAGGTGGATTTCTTTTTCCAAAAATGAATAATCATCTCCGTCCGTATATTTAAATCTCATAGGAAGCTAAGTAACATTGAAGACCAATTGTTAGGGGGGGGGGAGGTCCGGTAGGAAGGACATGAAGAATTACAAGTTGGTTGCCCCAGTCATACAGTTGGATAAGGATTGCATAGCAGATTGGGTCACTTGGTTCACCCCACAGAAAGTGATTTTGTGTCACTTTCTTGAAGGGTAAATACAGGGTGTCGGCCCCTACCCCAATGACATTATTTAAAATGGGAATATCTGAGTAACTGCATATCCCTGGAAAACGAAATTAAACAGGCTTCCTGTTGTACCATAAGCGATTTTTTTATCACAATTTGGACAAGATATTCAAAAGGATGTAGATTTTATAACCGATTTCACAAAGTTTCACAAAGGTTCAATATGTGTACCACCTTTGACATGAGACACGTCAAGTCGGTAGTTCAGCTCCCGCCAAACACGCTGTAGCATGCCTTGCGTAACATTTGGTGGTGGCACACTGTCTATTACAGTGTTGCCTTTGACCCATATTCTTATACTAAATTTATGGTAGTGCTCCAAGGTATGTGAAATTTTAAAGGTTAATTTCACGTTACTGAATTTCCACGTTCTGAAATTTTATTTTCCCGTTATTTACCATCACTGATTTAATTCCATCTCCAGATTATAGTTTCTGTTTTGAAAAGGCTTATCGTAGTTCTTAATTCTTGTAAAACTCGGTAAAGATTTCTTTTTCAAGTTCATTCTTATCTCATGTATGAACAGTTGTTGTAGTGATCAAAAGACATGAGAGCCATGGAAGGCTCTAATGAACTAAAAAATGACTACACTTTTATTTCAGGAGAGTGACATCAAAGGGAGGTTATTAATAGTAAGTCAAAAGGGGGATTACTAAGAAAATATCTGTTCCCAAGACGAGACAGGCGAATGTTCAGAATAGCATACCAATGTCATTAGCATATCACCACCAGTCATTATCAGCCCACTGACCTCTGAAGCTATAACAAGAAGACTTTTCTATGTCTATATTTCTGAGATGAGATATTGAAACTAATTACACTATTTTACTATTGCCCTCATCTTCATTTTAATATTCAAGACGTTTCGGTCATTGTCCGTTTCCAGACGTCTTCAGGTGATATATATTGGAATTTCGAATCGGACCCTTTTATTAGTCCACTGGGGTAGATTGTTATAATTCCACGTGCCATGCCTTTTTCTGGATATCTCAGTTTCAGTTAATTCCCTTTAGTAACTAAACTCTACAAGTTTTTGTTCACCTCTGCTGTGGCCAGGTATTGAACTCACTACTCTTTGGGTCAAGTTATTAGGTTACTTTAACCAACGTTTTTAGCAGCTAGGCCATGTGTCCTTAGGTTAACTAAAGGGTTCGAATCAAAATTCCAACGTTTATGACCTGAAGAAGGCCGGAGAGTACAACGTCCGATACGTCGTGAATATGACAATAAAGATGAGGAGAATAGCCCGAAAAATGTAAATAATGTAAGCTTTATTTTCCTATCGATATATTTGTTTAGGATGTCGTACGAAATATTTAAATGATCAGTGCCCATCTCTTCACATCTGTGCTTATATAGAGAAGAATCTAGGAAGGGACGAAATAGATTTTGTGGATCTCATTTCCTTATTGTCGTATTCAAGATGACCTTTCAAATGATTCCATGTTTGGGTCTTTACCAAACATATAGCATTGTGTGAATCAATACCATTCCTCTATCAGATCAAAGAATTCAGTTAGAGTTTGGAAGAAGATTTCTGAGGGATGAGAATAGAACCTTATCCAAAGAGATATAAGGTATTTACGTATCTATTGATTTATATATGTATAAAATACGTATATTATATATGTATATCTCACTATTCCAAATTGTTTTTCAGTTTTTTTCAGTTTGTTTACTTCAATGTAATATGCGTTTTTTTCTCTCCCTATCACTTTTCTTATCTATCTATCTATCTATCTATCTATCTATCTATCTATCTATCTATCTATCTATCTATCTATCTATCTCTTTTCTTATCTATCTTCTATATCTCTCTATATATCTCTTTCCTTATCTATCTATCTATCTATCTATCTATCTATCTATCTATCTATCTATCTATCTTCTATATCTCTCTATATATCTCTTTCCTTATCTATCTATCTATCTCTCTATCTCTTTTCTTATCTATCTTCTATATATCTCTTTCCTTATCTATCTATCTATCTATCTATCTATTTTCTCATCTATCTTCTATATATCTCTTTCCTTATCTATCTATCTATCTATCTATCTATCTATCTATCTATCTATCTATCTATCTATCTATCTCTTTCCTTATCTATCTTCTATATCTATCTATATATCTCTTTCCTTATCTATCTATCTATCTATCTATCTATCTATCTATCTATCTCTTTTCTTATATGTCTATATATAAAGGAAGAAAAAGAAAAATGCTGATTGGTGGGTTACGAGGAAAGGCTAACAGGGAAGAAACGAAGTTCCATGCTCGACGATGACAATAAAGTTCAGATGTTTTCAAGATAAAATGTTACATAGTGCGCTATCATTTCACCGCTGAGAACCAGCATGGCGCCAAGAAATGTTTCTCTTTTCTATTCGGAGAATAATTTCTTTGTTCCCAAGAAAATAGAATTCATGCCAACAAAGAAAGAAAGAAAGAAAGAAAGAAAGAAAAAAAGAAAGAAAGAAAGAAAACAAAGTAAGTAAAAGCGAAGCGTCGGAAATTGCAGCAGATCATGAAAAAAAAATGGCGAAATCACTTCAGAAAATAATCTTCCTAGTTTTGTCTGTTTGCTGAAGGGGAAAACAGTTTTTAACAAACATATTTGTCAGTAATTAGCGTCCATTTCGAAGATCTTAGCAAAAGTCAGGGGAATAGTGGTTATGCAAAAGAATGCTGTGAATTCAGGTGGTGACATCTATATGTCTGTACACTTGTTTAAAATGACTGTGTTCTTTTTATATATATATTTTTTATATATATAAACGCAGACACACACAGGCAAATATATATATATATATATATATATATATATATATATATATATATATATATATATGCCTGTGTGTGTCTGTGTTTATGTACATAAAATATTAGAAATACCGATCGTAGTTTATATCAATAGGTTTAATATTTTATTATTCTTTTAAATCACTCTCTATCTCCCTTTGTCCTTCTCTCTCTCTCTCTCTCTATATATATATATATATAATTAAATACCAAATGAAAAATTATATTAACCAACGCGTTGTCTTAATAAAGTCCGTCAGAGGAAGAAACGCGTCGGGTAAGATAAGTTTACTTTTTGTCTTTATTCATATTGTCCTTTTACAGATATATTCTATCTGACATTTTTAACACACACACAAACACACACACACACATATAGATAGATAGATAGATAGATAGATAGATATGAACCAAGTGAGATAGATAGATAAGTAGATAGATAGATAGACCGTAAAAAACGAAGCAATCATAATAAATATTTAAAAAAATGAATAAAGACAAAAGGAAAATTTAACTTAACAACATCTTTTCTTCATTTTTCACGAGTAGAAGTATGGGTCCGTCTACGAAATTCTGGAGTCGGAATGCTGAAGGTAACATCAATCAGCTGAGTGACAAACCTTTTACTTATATATATATATATATATATATATATATATATATATATATATATATATATATATGTAAATTATTTTTTTAAAATATGATTCCATCGCATGGAATCATATTTTTAAAAATTAATTATAATTTAGGCTCTACTTATGTATTGAGCACTGTTTTTAAAAATAAAAACAAAAATGCTAAAGAACTTCGGATTATTAACCTAATGTGTTCTTTCCTATTTTTGTATATATTTCCGTAGAGTATAAGGTTTTTTAGCTGAATGTATCAATTGAAAAAGGGCAAATTAAATTCACCGCCACTTAAAGTCGGCGAAAATAAAAAAAAATGGTAGTCTTAACTCGTCGACTGAGGGTTGGATTGAGGAATATGATTTGGGTAGTTTTGAGGAAATATGATATCAGCCAATTATTCCTATCTCAACCATCAGTGACTTTATGGCTAGCTATACAAAAAAAAAGTGGCAATAAACAGACAAACATATCAATGACTTTGCCCTCATTCATTTTTCTAAATGTCTGGAAAAGTTTTTTTTTTTAAATAAATGTTTATTTCTATAAAATTATAGCATAAAAGTATATTTTTGTTATATATATATATATATATATATATATATATATATATATATATATTTATATATATATCAGTCGCGGTTCTAGGTCATTAATATTTGCTGGGTTCATTAAAATATTTAAAAAATATATTCTTTTTATGCTAAAATGATTCCTTTACTATAACTAAAATATATAATATTCAAAATCTCTCTCTCTCTCTCTCTCTCTCTCTCTATATATATATATATATATATATATATATATATATATATAAACGCATTTTGTTATATATATTCGTCTATATATATGCGCGTGTATATATATATATATATATGCGTATATTTTGGCAACTTCTTTTCATTGGGACATGTTTCATTGATTAATTTAAACAAGTTTTAAACATATAAATAATTTTAATATCTGTCTATATTTCTGAGATGAGGTATTATGTAAACTGTTTACATTATTCAGAATATTGTCCTTAACTTTGTTGCCATATTTATCACAACGTTTCAGCCGTTGTACTCTCCGGCCTTCTGCAGGTGGTTGGAATGTTGAACTGAACCTCCAAAGACACATGGCACAGTGGATAAAGGGGCTTAGTTAGATCCAGTGACAGAACCCAATGAGTGTGAGTTCAATACCTGGTTAAGGTGACACGTGGAACTAGAACAGTTTACCCCAGTGAGCGAAATCAGTTCGACGATCAAACCACTTGAAGAAGGCCGGAGCGTACAACGGCCCATCGTTGTGGTAAATATGGCAAAAAATGAGGACAATATTCCGAATAATGTAAATAGTGTAAATAATTTTAATACTTCTTTCTTAAAACTTTCGACACACCGTACATACTTCACCTGAAGCGAGGTCAATCCATCACGTACTCTTCACATTACATGTAAATAATAATAATACTTTTCAGATGAAAACAGCAATTTTGCCTTTGAAAATGATCAAAACTATAACATTTGTCTCAAAATAAATAACACCTGATGATGACATTGTGCTATGTCGAAAGTACTCGGAATAAATAAATATGTATGAACATGGTAATTTTCGCTCTTCCTTTAATGGTCTTGTCCGTCAATTTGAAAGGATTCAATTGAAAATAAGTAGAGAAACCTTGTCTAAATTATTCAATGAACCATGTCTCAATATATATATATATATATATATATATATATATATATATATATATAATAGAATTTTGGGATTTAGGCAAATCCTTATATTAATTCATCGAGTCTTGAAGAATCCTCAACAGAATGCAGAAAGCACTGGACGGCCGTTTCGTCCTATTTTTGAGACTCATCAACAGTGCTCATCCATTACCAAGATTCAAACCCGAAACGTTTCAATATAACGCAATGGACCTCGCTGACGAAGAAGAAACTAACTCGACTCAATCTAGCGCCGCTACTCACAAATTCCGTGGTGATACTCATTCAAGTATCCAGAACCCAAGAACAACGTCTTTCCTCTCCCTCGAACCGCTCCATTGCAGAGCATTAGCTGGGTCAACCAAGGATATACAAGTAATACAATTTTGGGGATTTTAGGCAAATCATTGTAGTAAAATTAAATTAAAAATTATTTACAATTCGATCACACTAGGCATCTTAAAAACTATTCATGTCCATAGCCTTTATTAATTCTCCACACCGTAAGCCGTTCGATTATTTATCATCAGATTTCAACCAAACTCAATGGTCATTGTCACAAACTCCTTTCTTGGCTAACGTTTCCAGTTTAGTAATCCTAGATACCCTCCTCGCTATTCGTCTCTTTAGCTCTGGTCACAACATTTGGAATCGCATTTGGCTTTTCTAAAACACTGATATGATTTTCCATGAATCATTTCCGGTTCAAATCTGGTTCATTTTCTTGTTGGAAGCTACGCAGACACGCCAAATTCTGAATATATTGTTCTTTCTTCACGATCCTATCCACTTTAACCGAATTACTAGTCTCAGTGGGTAAAAAACATCCCAGAATAATTCTCTCAGTCTGTCTGTTTTTGATTGATGAGATAGTATTTTGTTGGTTAAAAGTCTTGCCTCTTTTTACCAAACAAACATCGCAGTTTTTGTTTAGGATTTGATCAAGAGCTTATAATTCTTATCCAGACGAGGCAGCATACAAAAAAGTTTTACGTGCCTGGCTTGGGATATTAAAATTTTCCTTGGTCGTATTCCACTGTAGATATCGTTATAAAACCATCGCTGGTGAGTCTGGCGAGATATTTTCATAACAGAATCATTGAAACCAGATAAAATATCCCGGCATTCTTGACATCTCTGGGGATATTTCGTTATGTTTTGGAATTCTTTATTCGAGGATTTTCATCTTGTAAACGTTCTTGAATTTTTGGAATCCCGGACAAACGTTTTATATAAGGTGATTTTCCAAGCGTAGTTTAGATGTGGCACAAGGCCGAAAGTATGGGGCACCCGGTGAAGTTTGAGTGAGAAGACACGTAAATCCTTTGATGATATTATCAGAAAACAAAAATGATTCCTCACATTCAAAGATAAATTTGGAGCTGTTATTGTTGATTCTAATAAAAAAAAAACTTAAATGAAACAAATTTTAATGGAAAAAAATGTAAGAAACCGAAATTAATAAATAAACTCATAAATTCAACAAATGAAAAAACTAAAGAAAAGTAAAAGATCCATTCATTAGTTCTTCCAATTCATACCTTTACAGCCTCGGGCACGACATGCTACTCCCACAGAGCCAAAACATCCCCATTCATTTTGTATCCCAAATATATGAAGAAACTTCCATTTCGACAGTTTTTCCCAAGAAATGCCACCATGTAGTAAACAATCCCGGGTGTCTACTTCTCTGGACACTTTAATCTTAACCACTTCATGTCAATTGACATCGTTAATCCTTATTCCCATAATCGTTAATCCTTGTCCCCATAATCGTTAATTTTTAATATATTCTCTTCCATTAATCATTTACAAATACAAAACAAACCCTCTACCTTGAGGTACACTTGAGCCTTGTATTGAGTGGAATTTTGTATTAAAATACCTCGTTACTGTTCGTAAAAAATAACTAGATTGTATGATTTACGAAAAAACATAAAAGCTCAGTGGATCAATGCTAAAAATTGAACACCTAATTTCGTGATATCTCGCTCTTCACACGTTAAAAATTTGGGGACCGAATCAAAAAATTAAAAAGAATAAATACAAACAATAGTGTCTGTGATTGTTTAAAGAAGACGCCATAAGACATCTTAAAATATACCAGGTATTAAATATTTTAAATTCCTAAAAGATAAAATATCAATAAA